TGGAGTATCGTAGGATAGTCTAGCCCTGAGTCAAAGCTGGCTTGCTGCAACAACTCCACCAACCCTTCTTGATACTATGCATGTATGTAGGATCTGATGTAAGTCTTGCTGAGTACCTTTGTACTCATGTTGCTATAATCTACATTTTTACAGAAGACGCTGCAACCCCTTCTGATGGGTTCTATGTAGACGTTGACATCAACGAGTAGGCTAAAGACCCAGGTGGTGACCCTGAGCTTGTGATGGACCACGTAGTATAGTTAGGCTTCCAAGCCTCTTTTATTTTACTAGTTGTCTGTACCTAGACAAAGTACTTCCGCTGTTGGCTTGTATGACTGTATGACTTGTATGTTGGGTCGTGAGACCCGTACCTGTGTGTATGATATGTATGGCTCCCTGAGCCTTAAATAAAGTACTTGTGTCATAGAGTCATGTTGTGATGCTTCGTTGTATTTGCACATATCGAGCATATTGTGTGTATGATTGAAATGCTTGGTATGTGTGGGATCTGACTATCTAGTTGTTTATCTTTAGTAGCCTCTCTTACCGGGAAATGTCTCCTAGTGTTACCGCTGAGCCATGGTAGCTTGCTACTGCTCTGGAACACTTAGGCTGGCCGGCATGTGTCCTTCTTCGTTCCTGTGTCTGTCCCTTCGGGGAAATGTCACGCTTTGAGTACCGGAGTCCTGTTAGCCCGCTACAGCCCGGTTTACCGGAGTCCTGCTAGCCCAGTGCTACAGCCCGGACCCACCTGCTGATGACCGACACGTTCGAAGCTGGGTCATGGATGCCTGTCCCTGTAAGTCTGTGCCACTTTGGGTTTACGACTAGTCATGTCAGCCCGGGCTCTTTATCATATGGATGCTAGCGACACTATCATATACGTGAGCCAAAAGGCGCAAACGGTCCCGGGAAAAGGTAAGACGACACCCGTAGGGATACCGTGCGTGAGGCCGCAAAGTGATATGAGGTGTTACCAGCTAGATCGATGTGACATCAAGTCGGGGTCCTGACAGTAGTGGCAGTTGAACTATGTTGGCAGTTGAACTATGTTGATGCTATGTAAGTGGCAGTTGAACTATGTCATGTTGTTTTATGTTCTGTGTTGATGTTGTTCATGCAGTCTTGTTGCTATATAAGGCAACAACCCAAAACTGTCTTGTTGCTATATAAGGCAACAATCCAAAAGTGTCTTGTTGCTATATAAGGCAACAATCCAGAAGAAAAAGTGTCTTAACTGAACTTTACCTTCACTGAATTTTGTCTTAACTGAACTTTGTCTGCAATGAACTTTGTCAGATAACTAAACTCATACAAGTGTTAAAATTCAGTTAACTATAAAAATTCAGTTATCTTTTCAAACTAAATTCAGACAACTGTTAAAATCTAGTTAACTGTTAGAATTCAGTGTTATCTTTTCAAACCAATTTCAGTTAACTTTAAAAACTCAGTTATCTTTTCAATGAGTTAATTCAGACAACTGTTAAAATTCAGTTAACTGCCAGTATTCAGTTAACAGGGAGGGGAGTGGAAGCATAATAAGTAGGTTGTCAAGTAACACTTGAGCAAAGCACCATTCTTATCACACCGGCATTGCACGCAGTTCCTCACACCATAGGTCCTGGGTTCGAGACCCAGGCAAAACTTTTTTTGTGTGATTTTTAATTTTTTGTTTAATCAAAATTTGGTACATATGTTCAGATTGTAGCAAATTCAGCAATACAAATTCAGGCATACAAATTTAGTCATAGAAAGCAGGAAATCTTTCCAAAATAAGAAACATTGATAGTTAACTTCAATTTTTTATCTAAATTTAGTTATCTTAACCCAATTTAGTTATCTGAAGCCAATTTAGATAACATTTAACAGAAAGTACAAATGACACAAATCCAGGAGGAGGTTCATGTTCATTTGATAGAAAGTACACATTGTAGGAAAGATACAAGGTCATTTTTTTACAATGACACAAATTCAATCAAATTCATTCAGCAAAGCCTTCAGCTTCATTATCTTCTCCCTGGTGGCCTCTTTGTGTTTGAATAGGTCACCAATCATGTACTCAAGCTTCCTTTTCTCATGCTTCGAATCATCCCTCTCTTGAATCACTTGGGCCCTCTCCTGCACTGTTTGGTCCCTCTCTTTCTCTGCTTTAACCTTGAAGACCTGATGAACTTTGGTTACTGACTTGTCTGTCATCTTCTTCTTCTCAAGTTCTTCCTTTAGATCAGTCAGAGCAAGTTGTGTGCTGCCTAATTGGCTCATTGCCTGCTCCTTCTCAGCCACCATCTTAGCAAAATCAAGCTTGAAATGCCTCAACTCATTCTCTATCTTATTCTTCTCTTCAAGAACCTTCAAGTTTTCTTCAGCACTCACAACATTCTGTCCGAGCCTCTGTTTTTCTCCTCTTCATACATGGTCCATATACTATCTAGGCTCATCTTCAGAGTATCAGGCCACTCAGGGTCAACCCACTCAACATATCTGCATTTAGGTAGCTCCTAACAATTTAGACCAAACAAAAAATTCAGTTAACTGCGAGTATTCAGTTCTGTGCATGACGATGAAACTTAAAACATACTTCAAATAACTTGTTGTTTAACAATGCCAAATGCAATTTTTTTACTAACCTTCTGTGCACAAGCTAGAAACCTTCTGCCACTGTTAACAGATTCAAATGCTACATGCTTCTCACACAAAGATCCATGCCCACATCTAAAGCTAGGCAGATCTGTAGCCAAGCCACTCCATTCCTCATAAGAAATTGTGGCAGGTGGCTAAACAAAAGAGAGTCATTTGGATTCAATTGACAGAGAAACCCTAGATGAGAAACCCTAGACCGGGTGGGGAGCACACTAACCTTGCTGGTCATAGAGTCATCTTCAGAAGAACTGGGAAGATCATCCCAGGACACCATGGTTGAAGATGAGAAGGGGATCTGTTGTTGCTATTGGACAGAGGAGAGAAGGGATCTGGTGGTGCACGAAATTGAAGATGAAAGATGAGGAAGAAGAAGGGGATCTGGTGGTGGTGGTGGTGGACTGGTGGTGGGCCAAAGCTACATGCAGAGTGCAAGTTGTTGGGTGGGTGTTTGCAGCAGGTGCAAGTAGTTCAGTTATGTTGAGAAAGGCTGACATGAGTTACAGTTGGTGGAGTTGGCATAATTAGCTCTGACTACAGTGCCTACTTAGCTCTGCCAGATACAATTCTGACATCATTAGGTACAATTCTGTCAGCAATTCTGACTGCCTAATTCTGTCAGTAATTTGAAAGCAATGAGGTTAAGTACATTTCTGACAGAACTAGGTACACTTCTGTCAGAATTAGTTTAACTGCACTTCTGACATCAAATACATCTGTCAGTCATTTCAAAGCAATTAGGTCAAACATTAGGACAAGTCTTCATATTACTGACATATTATCCATTACAACAAGCAATCCAACCAAGACTTCATACTAAGCAAACAAGAGATCTCTACAATGGCATTTAGTATGCTCAATTTAGAACAAGAGATCTATTAGAACACCTACACCTACTCATTTAACAACACTTCACTTCTTCATAATTAAGGTGAAACACATCACACAAAGCACTATAACAAAAGCCATCAACAACTTTAGCAGCAGCAAAATCTCTCTGCCTAATCCTAACAGCATAGCAATTTGCTGCTTAGTAGCATACTTATTCTCACTAGAACTGGCATAATTAGCTCTGCCTACAGTGCCTCTTCCAGCCATGCCCCTTCCAGCTGTGCTTCTGCCTGCCATTGATTCAGTCCTCTACCTCTCAAGCTCTTCCCTCCTGTCCTGAGCTGCACCAATTGCATCTATAGCAGCATCACCAACAAGACGCTTTGTTTCAACCAGATGCTCCACATATTCAAGCTCCCAGCGCCAGAAATCACAAGTGACCTGAGAAAAACATTTACATCTTTATTCACCTACAGAGTGACAGTGGTTCAGAGTGCATGATTAAATGACAAACTAGTTAACCAACTAGTTCTATCAGTAATTTTGCAACCAAGGCTGGAAAATCACGACCAATGTCTAAACTACTGTATTAATCACAGCAATGACTAGTTAACCAACTAATGTGCCTAATTTTATCAGTGCTCTGCTTCAATACTACTGCTGCTGCATGGATCAGGATCAAGCACTTATAGTGTGGTTGACGCACTTGTAGAAGATCCATCCTTCGTGCTCATCGGTGCTAGACCGGTAGAACCTCACCTGCTCGTCGCAATCCGGGCACCCGATCAATGGTACAGCAACAGAGCGGCCACACAATGCATTGCGGATGGAGCTGGAAGACAACATGACGACGGGGACAGAGACGGCGGAGGAGGGCGTCGGCAATGGCTGCGGCGGCGGAGAGCGTCAACGTTGGCAATGGCTGCGGCGACGGGGACGGGAGTTGGGCTAGGGTTGGGAGGAGAGGAAGAGGAGAGCGAGGGGATAAGCGAGCGGCCGACCAGGTGCGACCAGGGGTGCGACCAGGTGCGCGGTTGGTCCGACCAGGTCATGCCATTTTGCAAACCCCCTCCCCCCTGGATGGACTGGTATTCACCGAAGGAACGACAGTGTGGCGGTCAAAGCCGAGCTGGCGGCCACTGACTCGGCCAAGTCAGCAGATACATACACAAAATCGTATATATGGACCAAAATGAACCCCTAGCGCAAGTATTTGGACCGTAGTTCGGGTATTTTGAAGTAGTGGTACTAGTGTGTCACCCGGTTCAAGTTTAGTGACCTAGAGTGAATTTTTCTGTTATTTACAAGTTTTTAGCAAACAATTTTAGAGTTTATTTTGGGCCTTGGGTGGGCGCCCAGTTCCAACAGGCCCGGTATGCGCAGAATAATCCATTAACCGAGTCTGACATTCACGGCCTGATACATGGGCCCGTAGCAGAGGAGCCCCCATTCACTCCATCGACGAAGCGCACGGAGGGTAACTGCACAGGAGGAAACCGGCGAAGGAAGCGGCGGCGGCTCCGGGCGTGGACATGGACGAGAAGACGCAGGATAAAGTGGAGGCGGCGGTGCTGGAGATCCTGCGGGGCTCCGACATGGAGTCCCTGACGGAGTACAAGGTCCGCACCGCCGCCGCCGACCGCCTCGGCATCGACCTCGACCTCCCCCTCCACAAGCGCTTCGTGCGACGCCTCGTGGAGGACTACCTCAAGTCCCTCGCCGAAGAAGAAGACCAGAAGCAGAAGGGCGGCTCCCGCAAGGAGGGGAAAAAGAAACAGCAGCGTCAGGAGGAGGAAGAGCAGGAAGAGGACGAGGAGAAGGAGGGGGAAGAAGAGGAGGAGGAGGAGGAGGACAAGGGAGGTGAAGGAAAGAAAGAGTTCGACGATAATGGAGACCTCATCCTCTGCCGCGTGAGTTCAACTTTTTCTCGCCTAAACATTGCTAGGGTTTAGTGCCGGGGCTACTAGGGTTTACGGTGCGATTTGTTTGCGTTTGCAGCTGTCGAAGAACAGGAGGGTGACGCTGCAGGAGTTTAAGGGCAAAACGCTGGTGTCGATCCGCGAGTACTACATCAAGGACGGCAAGGAAATGCCCACCTCCAAAGGTGCTGCAAATCTTACAGTTTTTCTTGAGCTCGAGGATTGGATTTCTGCTCGAATCCCAGATTTGAATATCTGTTTTGCTCAGTTCGGATGTCCTTTCGTCTTGGTATATTCACAGTTATGGCAAACCCGCTAGTTACGGCGACCTTGCAGCAATGTCGATTTGCTTGTGTTTTGTTTCAGGTTTCAATCTTTGCAGGAAAAAGTGCATCAGTTGCCTGAAATCCACACTATCAGATTATGTCAAAACTGAAACACTTTATATTGGCATTTTGTTTGCCATGTTCATCTGTTCATTAGCCTAATACATTCCACTAGCAAGTGCTGGATAGTATCCCAGCGCTGAGTTTTGCACATTTATAAGCTAGTCTTGTATAGTTCCATCTAACATAAGTTCTTGCATATGGACCGTACCGTATTTGTGACAAGGCTTCTCCAACTAAAGGGGTGGTAATC